AGACTGAAGCAAGCAAGAAGGGAAATTCCCAGATAGAGATGGCTATTATATAAATATATTGGGCTTATCAACTGGAAGGTTGGCAGTTCAAGATGCAAGGACTGGACTTCCAGTTTTGGATTGCGCCGCCTCTAGCCATACGAAGAGACTCGTCTCCTCGTCAGCTAGTTTCCCTCTGCTGGTAGACCCTTATACGGGTTGAAAGTCACCCTGGTGGGTGCGACTACCGTCGAGGAGGCTGTGCTCAGCTGCGGAGGAGCGGCGGCTCCCCAGTTGGCCAAACGAACTCTGAGGGCTGACGGAGATCGGCCAGTAAAATGGCCAATCACCCAGTTGCACCAACCGCAAGTCAAAAGAACAACTAAGCATGAAGGCCCTCTGTGGTGAATCGGGATGAGACTCCTTTTTCTCTCGCTATCCTGATTTTTCCTGTAAAGAGCTCTGACTATTTCCCTTTGCTAAGAAAGCGGCAGCTGCCTATATCGGAAAAAGAACTTAAAAAAAATCTCTTTGTCTTTTTTGGTTGTTTTTTTCTACCATTGGACTTTCTCTGTGGAGATATTTAGGGAAAAAGAAGAAAAAAGGGACATTGCTAATTTGTTCCTATCAACTTTATAACGTTGGAGATATCTCTCTAGTTAAATTTTTAAAAAAATAAGTGTGAAAACCTTTTGTTTCTTTAACTTTACCAACTTGGAAAAAAAATCTTACAGTCCACTGGGACATCTGGTGGTCAAAAGTGACATTACAACTCTATCTTTGTGATTGGAAGAGGGATTGGACTTCATATGACAGTAAAAGAGAAAAGATAATCTGACATTTGGGTGGTGAAGCTGACTATTAGACCTTTGGAGGTGGATATTTGTGGACTTTTGTTAAATATAGTTTCTAATAAAGGAATAGGCTAGTCTACCACCAAAATGAAAGAAAATATTCCATATCTTGACTATGATCTAATATTGGAATTTTTTTTTGAAATGACAGCAGACTTCAAAAATTATTGGAAATCTAGGAGACAATCTAAAGATGCTACCTTGGCACTTCCAATGGACCCTTCAACAATGAATCAAGCCATGGAACAAGGAGCACCAGAGGAAGAACAGAGCAATACTGAACAGGCTTTCACTCATAAAGACACACAATCTAAAGAGACAGAGACATTATGCTTACAACCTAATGGTGAATCTACGCTGGGAGAAAAGGTGGTAACCCCTGTGCCAACTAATTCTACACAACGTTACCTACAACGGATGGATAACTTGGATGATCAAGAACTAACTGTAACTGATTCAGTTCAACTACCGAAAATTACAAAGATTGACACTCAGATACAACTTTCTGGAAACCACAACAAAGCAGATAACTTATTTACAATTATAATATGGAATAAAAGTCAATATAATGCCCAGATGATATTGGCAGGAAGAGAAGAAATTTTTGCTCAGTTTGAATTGATTAGAAACTTTTGTAACCAAAGTTTGAGGTTTGATAATCGAAAAGTTTTAATATGGGAACCAACTTGGCCTAGAAAGAAAGCTAGAGCCAGGTTTAAATGTGATATAAAACGTTACTTGACGGGTTAAAAAGGCTTTAGAGATTTTTGTCTGATTTAACAATGAAAGAAGGAGACAATTGATGGTTATCATAGTTGATAATTATTAGGGAGCAAACTTGTTTAGGGGTTAAAAAGACTTTATAGACATAGAGTGATGAAATGACAGAACATGTTTTTAAAAATAGATATGTGTGGTTTTTTGGGAACTACACTATTATTTTAAATATGATAATTATTTTGAAATAGAGAATTTCTGTTTGATTTAATAATGAATGAAGGCTGGGAATTTCTTGACATTATACTTGATAAGTATTTGAAGGTGTAATCTTTATAAAAGGGCTTAAAAAGAATTTTTATAGATGTTTGAGACTTTTTAGTGACACTGTCTGAATGAAGTAACTCAAGAAGGGTGTGGATTCTGATAGTGATGATACTGTATAATAAGTACTATTCTTTTTTTAGAATTTATCTGTGAGCAAGAAAGATAAGATACATGATCATTAGGACCCCAGCTGGTTATCCAGGCTAACAGCTAAACATGGCAAAACGTGTGCATTACTAAGATTAAGATTATGTGAACAATGAAAGCACTAGACAAGAATAGCTGTCGTTATAAAACAAACAAAATTCTTGGAACAACCAGGAAAATAAATCACTAGCAAAACCCCAGTAGTTTTCCTTCAGTTAAAATAATAAGTGGTTTAGTTCTGCTGTGGTCTAGCATTGACAATAATTTAAGACTGGTATTAGACAGGTCAATATACCTGTGTGATATCCAAAGAGCTACAAAACTTCAGTTCACATCTAACTTTGGAGACTGTTTAATTTTAATATAATAGAAGCCTTGCAAGACCTAAAAGGCCTTCCTGACTGGCTTGTCCATGCTTGCAAGCTTCCTGTCTCATATAGACAATTCTATGGAGATGGTGGAAAAAGCTTTCTACTATAGCAGTTTAGATCCAAATGGCTATTTTAGAGGAAGTTTTTTTTTATTAAAAGTTTTACAAATTTAATACAATATAACCCAAACCCCTCCCACCCCTTCCCTCCCTCCCCCACTTCCCAGAGCTGATTACAGGGTAACAAATAAACAATCATAAACTAACTAACATTACCCGCCTATACTATCAATCAAACCATAACATACTTTAACTCCTTTTCAAAACAAATATTAACAAATTAAAAACAAAAATAATAATATAATTAAACCATAACACTAAAAATAATATAAATACAATCATATTAAACTATTAATAATAACCTAAAATCTACTCATAAGCAAGATAATACTTTTCAGTCTCATATTTCTTTTGAATATAATCAATCTATCTTCTCCAGACCGAAATGTATTTTTCTTGTGAATGGTCCTTCAAATAAGCCGAAATTTTCACCATTTCTGCTAAGTTAGACACCTTAAGTATCTATTCTTCCATAGTAGGCAAAGAATTTTTCTTCCAATATTGCCCCACCAATAATCTTGCAGTTGTTATAAGATTCAGCATCAAATTAATTTCTTTGACATCAAAATCAACCATAATAACGAACAAAAATAATTGCTGAGTAAACTTTATCTTTCTCTTAAAAATCTTTTGAATATTCCACCAAATCTTAATCCAAAAAGCTTTTATATCTCTACAAGTCCACCAAATATGAAAATAGGTTGCATCTAAGCTTTCACATCTCCAACATTTGGGCTGTAAATTAGGATACATGCGGGACAACTTTTGGGGATCCAAATGCCATCTATAAAATATTTTATAAAAATTTTCTCTTAAATTTTGCACTTGGGTAAATTTTACATTTCTAACCCAAATTGTCTCCCATGTATCCAATAAAATCAGTTCTTGAATATTTTGAGCCCATTTGACCATACAATCTTTAACTAACTCTGTTTCAGAATCTAATTCTATTAAAACTTTATAAATTCTCTTTATTTGGGCTCGAGTTTGATCTTTAATCTGTTTTACCAAATTCACATCCTCTAAGGTAATACCAACCTTTTGATCTAAACTCCACCTCACTAACAATTGATTATACTGAAACCAAGAGTATACAATATTTTCTTGCTTCAGCTCAGTTAAAGACTTTAGTTGCCAATCCTTCCCTACCAAACTAAGTAATTCCTTATAAGAAATTCTATCCAAATTCACACCCCTAGATATTTCCTCTATCGCGTGTCCGGGAATTCCCCAAATTGGAATTTTATAATTTAACCTATAATAATACTTCTAGACACGCAACAAAGCACTTCTCAAAATATGGGATTTAAAAACCTGATCCACTTTTTTATCATAAATTAAATAAGCATGTCATCCATATACTAAATCCCATCCCTCAAGAGAAAGGATATTTTTATTTGTTAAATTGAGCCAATCACTAATCAGCGTTAAAGCCACCGCATCATAGTACAATTTTAAATTAGGCGCCTTAAGTCCTCCTCTTTCCCGTACATCTTGTATAATCTTAAACTTAACTCTTGGTTTTTTCTCTGCCCAAATAAACTTATTAATACCCTTCTGCCATTCCTCCAAGTTAGCATCTTTTTTCAAAATAGGTATCATTTGAAACAAAAAAAGAAACTTTGGAAGAATATTCATTTTAACTGCTGAAATTCTTCCCAACAAAGGTAACTGTAATTTTTTCCAATCATTTAAATCCTTTTGAACTTTTGCCCATAATGTCTCATAATTATTTTTATACAATTTAACATTAGAAGCTTTCTACTATAGCAGTTTAGATCCAAATGGCTATTTTAGAGAAAGTTTTGAATGTATAGATTTTGACCTTAAAACATGATTCAATCTACATCTTAATCCTGAAATTGATGAATCAGTTCTGTACTTTGATGAGAACATCATATCATTCTTTTATGAAATCATGTTTAATTTTTTTCAAGTAAACTATATCACTAAATGCTACTTTGCCCTTTTGGCAAATGCTATTAGAGTTCAGAGGCACATGAATTAGATTTGCTTGACTGTGTGACAGATATCCACCTTTGCCATTTTGCTAGTATTTTGGGTACTAATGGTTGTTCATTAATCTCAGTATAGGTTATATTCCATGTAATAGTTCAAAAATGTTTAGGGACTAAGGAAGATAACTATTCTTTCTTTTACATCAAAGCTGAGGAATAATCTATCAGTTTTAAAAGATTTCAGTGTCATGGTTTGACAAAAATATCACCAGCCCACAGTATTCAACTGGAGTTATTTCCAAATTCTCAATAGCTATATAGCTAGAGTAAGCAATTCTATTAAATTATAAGTATTTAAATATTAGTGCTACATGTTTAAACACAAAGAATAGTTAAATTACCAGTTTCCTAGTTGAAAATGATATAATCATTTCAATAAGGGACCTCTTATATTTTTCAAAGTTCTATACATTGGTAGCACTTTATATAAATAATCATTATTACATTCATCATAGCATTGTGCTTTACCTTGATATCAGATGTGTCACGTTGACAATTGCGCCATGCCCTTGAAACTGATGAGAAAGCTCTATCTGCATGATCAAACTTCCCACCTTGCAAGTTTAGGAAAAATGTTGTAAAAGGCTCCTAAAAAACATGATTAAGAAAGGAAGATGAAATACCTTGTGAAACAGCAGCAGTTTTCTTTTTGTATATTTCTAATACAGGTAGTCCTCAACTTACAACCATTTGTTTAGTGACCGTTCAAAGTTACAGTGGTACTGAAAAAAGTGACTTATGACCATTTTTTCACATTTATGACCATTGTGGCATCTCCATGGTCTTGTGATTAAAATTTAGATCCTTGTCAACTGGTTCATATTTATGACAGTTCCAGCGCCCCAGGGTCATGTGATCACCTTTTGAGCCACAGTGGTGCAGTGGTTAGAATGCAGTTCTGCAGGCTACTACTGCTGCCAGCAGTTTGGCAGTTCAATTCTCACCAACTCAAGGCTGACTCAGTCTTCCATCCGAGGTTGATAAAATGAGGACCCAGATTGTTGGAGTCAATATGCTGACTCTGTAAATCGCTTAGAGTTGGCTGTAAAGCACTGTGAAGTGGTATATAAATCCAAGTGCTATTGCTATTTTTGCAACCTTCTGACACGCAAAGTCAATGGGGAAGCCAGATTCACTTAACAACCATGTTGCAAACTGAACAACTGCAGTGATTCACTTTACAACTGTGACAGGAAAAGTCATAAAATGGGGTAAAAACTCAATTAACAACATAAATTGTGGGCTCAACTGTGATCACAATTTGAAGACTACCTATACTTCACCTTGCCTGAACAGAATTATATGTTTTGTTTGTGGAAAGAAGTAAAAATAGTAATCTGAGTTATTCATTTCAAAAATATGTAAAGAGAATCTTACATTACAGTATTGGAGGGTTGCTGGAAAATCTGGGTTGCAGATTTTATGTATTTTTTTCTATTATTCCATTAGCGCATCCACTACAGTTATAATTCAACCTAACATTAACATACACTTAACTGTATATAGAACAGGAATTAAAGGACATCTAGAGATGTAACCAAGAGATTTCAATAGCTTTGACAAGCAATCTTTGAGTAAGAGATATTAGCAGATTTGTTATTCAGCTAAATCTTCCTAATGAATATTATGGATGCACGCATATCCTTCCTGCATGTGCAGTTCACAATTAAGAGAGAAAAATGTTAACAAATGAAAAAATCTCCTCTTCGTCACAAGATACCTAAGCACATATTAGACAATAATTGCCTGAAATTAGCTAAGTACCATAAATTACTGCTAGGATTTATGTCTGCTTGTATGAATCTAACAAGGCTTAATTAATGATGTCTTGCTAGTGCTTTACCAAAGAAATTAGTTTCTATCAGGTAAATCATAATCCCAGTTTATTTTACAGAAACCTGGTTCATTTCATCGATATATCAAATCTGTCCAATTGCATTTATCCACAAGTATATATTATTTGAAAAATTCTATTATATCTACAGAAGAAGGTTACATTCCAGGTTAAATAATGGCCATACAACCAAATTGCAGTTTTAAACAGGAAAAAAACCCCAAAGGCTATGCTACTTTCCTTGTACATACCATACATTTTTTATGAAGTATAATCACTTTATTTCTCATGATCTAAAACAAATTTATTCAGTTGCATGATTCCACATAAAATATTGAACTCCCCTTATTTAACCATTAGGTACCTTCTTTACTCATATACACAAAAACATTTTAAACACACTTACAATTCTTAACAACCAAGTGAGTGCAAAACTGGCTGTTGAATAATGAGTGCCATAATGAAACTTTGGAACTTGATCATCTTCCCATGTTTCATAGCGTTCGGCAAAGAATGCAGCTCGTTTGGGATTAAGAGCACCAATAGGCTAGGAAGAAGAAAAAGAACACAGTTTAATGTATCATTTCATCAGCAGTTGTGATAAAGCAATAAACACATCACTGGATTATTATTACAATTTAATATAATGAGGTGTAAAACATAGAACTATGTAGGTGCAAAATATGTGAAATATCAAACAGCAAAATAACAATTTCAGGAATATAAAATTGCATTTATTAAATTGGATTATTTATTCTAATAATTCTTTATTACTACTGCAAATTTTACAAAAGGAAACATACAATGAGTATTTGGTCCTATGTCTCCTAAATATATTGGATTATTTCCTCTGACACAATTCCACGTCAATACGTTCGCAGTAGTTTGATAGAAAGGTTTTACAACATGAGCATACCAATTCATATGGTTCCAAAGGCCATATATTATAATCTATCGGTATAGAATTTTCTTACTAGGAAATGTCTCCAACAGAAGTATAGAAGTATATTTGACCAGAGCTTCAGTGGAAGAAGGAATGAATAAAACATATTTTAAACATTTTATCCACTTTCCAGTTTTGGAATATTAATATAGAAAATAAGACCTTTATACTATTGATAACATTAAATTGAACAAAATAAAAAACCCAGATTTTCTTTCCCATTGATAGACTTATTTCTGATAATCATTTTTGCTCAAAGATGTTTTGATATGCTCAAAAGTTTTTCTGTCACTTCTTATAAACTATATTTAACGTGAACCTTACTAAATGATAGAGCGGTGAGACCTAATGCCTAATAGCTGCACTCTTCTTTTAAAATTAAGAACTGAAAACCCTAAACAACCAAAAATGGCACGTGACAGAATTTGTATAACAACAAATCCATCTTGTGAGAAAGGCTGAATGAATAAGTGGCATTCGTGGCTTACAATATGCCTCCAGTTAACATAGAAATATGCTATTAATATGAATATTCCTTAATACAAATAATTTTTCTTCCCATAAATGCCAGTTATTTACCATGAATACAGTAAACTATTTACTAAGTGCTGGTAGTAATATATTTCATGCAGTCATGATAAATCTGCTAAGAAGTAGAGCAAATATTTGAAAACCTGTTCATAGAAATCTGCTTTATATTCAAGAATCTCAGCATTTTCACTTGGAAAGATAAAGCAGACAGTAGATTTGCTAAACATGCCCATTTTCATAAAATATCAAAGCTGTAGCACTGCCATGATTCTTTAGGAAATATGGTGGTATAAAATAGAAATTAACATTAAATTAATAATATTTTAGTGGGTCTCAATACTTACTTCTTTGTCTTAAATGTGTATTTTGACTCTCTAATATGAATAATACTTAGCATATACTATAACTGTATGAATAATCCTTATTATTCATCAGGATAATAAGGCGTAATTATATAAACCATTCACTAGTTTTGATGCTATCATAACACATCAATATTGTTTACTTAATTGTATAAATCATTTTATTTGCCACTCCATAATTTTTATATTTTGATACAAGAAAAAACAGCCAAACTACATAAAACAATCAAATTACATAAAACCAAATCTTTATTACAGCCATAAGGTCAGCCATCAGGTGTGTGTGTGTGTGTGTGTGTGTGTGTGTGTGTGTGTGTATGTGTGTATTAAAAAAACAAAAAATACATTTCTATACTTTTTCAGTCCCTAGGAAAGGCAGAGGTGCAGATGGTGGTAAGAATCAGGTAACCCAGAAGGATATATTCAAACAATAGTCAGACCTGAGAAATGATAACTAGAAGTCAAGCTCTCTGCCAGGGAATTTCAGCAGTATAGGATAGATAAACTCTTTTGGAGATTCCCTTTAGAAAGGACAATGAAAAGCTACATGGTTCAAGGGCATTACTGAGATGTTTCCACAAGGACATTAATGTTATTGTGGAGGAATAGTTTTGTAGTGCCCCATCAGGACCACAGAAGGCAATGTATTCTGCCTCGCCAAAGTGAAGGTCTGGCAAAATTTCGGGACTATGATAGAGACCAGGTATCAGGGTGATGATACTCGTTTGAAAAGACCGGATAAAAGACCAGATTTGAAATTGTATTTTGATGCATGCTGTTTGGTTTGGTTAAAAGAGTGGGTGAACCTTCAGAATAAGAGGCTGCTTGATTTGGAAGCCCATGAATTAAAGTTTGGATGGCATGGGTATTTATGGTATGATAAAGTTAAAGTAAATGTTGATTTTAATAATCACTTTATTAGACGTGCCATATTAAGAGTTTGGAAAAAATATAAAATAAGTTTTTTTATGAAATTGTCACTATGGGTGTCCCCCCAAGAAGCTTTTTTTAGAAAAGAAATGGTGGTGAAACTGGACTGGTGGACATATGGTAAAATAGTATCTTTCAATTCTGGAGACCCCATCCTCAAGTCTAGGGAAGAATTAGAATTAGAAGACCACGCTTGTCACTGGTTTACATATCAACATATAAAGGAAAGATTTAAATTAGACAAAAAAGGCCATGGTTTTGAGTTCACTAAAAATGAATTGGAAATCCTACTATGTGGTAGTGATGATCATATAATTGCCAAGGTCTATAAAAGGTTATTAAAGTTGAACTTGGAAAATGAACATGTAAAACAGTATATGATCCAGTGGGCAAGGAATTTTGGGTATAATGTGATGTTTGAACAATGGAAGAATATGTGGATAAAAGGTTTAAAATTCACATTAAATTATAACCTAAGAGAAAATTTCTACAAAATGATGTATTGCTGATATTTAACACCAGATAAGTTATCTAGAATGTATAAAGGTATTTCAAATGAATGCTGGAAATGTAAATGTAAAGAAGGGAATTTTTATCATTTATGGTGGACATGTGATAAGGCAAAGTAGGTACAATTCATATATTAATGGAGAAAATACTTAAAGTGAACATAAAGAACATAAAGGTTAAACCAGAAACTTTCCTTCTGGGCCTAATGGAAAGAGAACTGGAAAAAAAATTGGAACTCTGATTTTATATATGGTGACAGCAGCAAGACTGCTCTATGCACAAAAGTGGAAGGATGCCTCAATTCCTACCATGGACAAATGGTTACAAAAGCTGATGGACTTAGCAGAGATGGCCAAATTGACTGTGCTGAAAAGAAGTACTTTTGTTTCTACTTGGAAACCACTTCTGGACTTTGTGCTTGAGGTGGAAAAAAATGGTATCATGATTTTGGGTTTTACCAATTAGACTGATTTGCTGATACAGAAATGACTAGTGCATACTACTATAGAAATGTAAAAAGTTGAGATTTGATTTTAATGTCTGATTTTACTGCAGCAGAGAGAGCCGGAAGTCAATGCCTTTTGTTTCTTCCCCCCTTTTTCTTACCTTTTTTGTTTTTCCTTTTTCTACTGTTGCCCCCAACTATTTGCTTTTCTATTTTCATTTATAAATGATTAAAACTTAATAAAAAGAAAAAAGAAAATACCAGATAAATATCTGCAAAACTGGGGACTAGACTTCAATAGATTTGAAATCAGTATCCCAAATATGCTTTTTAAAACCTGAGCATTTTCAAAACCTAATGAAAAATAGTTCTTGAAGAAGTATCCTAAGGAGTGAGACTTCCAATAACTTCTCTTAAACAGGCTGACATAATGTGGAAAGTACTGGAAAAAAGGATAAGTTTAGCCATAGGTTAGAATGATTTCTAACACCATGATAAGTGATAAATAACTATATACAAAAAAAAATCTCATAAAAGCTAATATATGGCTAACTAAATTTATCAATACAAAACAACTAAAAATCAAATACGCATTAAAGGTGATTTTTGTATCATCTGACAATTTTTGACTTGCTATGCAAAACTTGGCAACATGGTATGTTGTGGTAGGATTAGTGTCTGAAAATAGCTGGGAGAGGAGGCTAGTATGAATGTTTTTGTAATAAAGGTGCTGGAGGAGCTAATGCCTCTTGAACTTTGGAAGGTATTTCCACATAATCCTATGATAATGGGTTGTATATGATATCATTTGCAGATTTTGACATATCATATGTGATAATTTCAGTGGTCTTAGAATATAGCATTTAAAAATGAACTATAAATTGGTAGCAGATATACTGTAATACAATTAAGTATTATTTGATAATGCAACTTTATTTTGTTAAATTTATTTCTTCCTTCATATACTATCACATCTAAACAGGCCTTTTAAAACATATCCTGGTAGGAAATTTGATATTTTTTTTTTTAAAAATTGATGAATATTCTTTTTTACCAAGGAGTTGAAAGAGAAGTGAAAAAAAACCTTACTCAGATTTTAATTATTTTATTTATTGTCAATGAACTATTATAAAAACTACTTAATTTTTGTTCTGGCTTTTTGTTTATAAAAAAGATATTAGAGTGGATGAGTTTGCTTTTGCTTTTTTGGTGCAGCATCTACATAACACTAAAGCTTTTCAAATGGATGCTTTTAACTGCTCTTGTTTTTATTATCTCCAAATGACCACTATAGATCAATAGTTATAAAATTACATCTGCTGAATATAAAGCTAAAACCAGTTAGAATTGATTTAACTCTCTTTTGAAAAAAGAATAAAAGTATCATATGGTGAGCAAGAATCTACCATATTGATTTTTAATCTCTTTTTTTTTTAACACCAGATTTCAAGAGCCTGGCAGTAGGACAACTATCAAACCATTCCACATTTGTTTGCAGACAAATTAGAAAAAAAATCACCAAATGGGGGAAGGGCTTAGAAATAAAGGACTATAAGACTGTGCAGTGACAATGATACACTATCAGCTTACTCAGAGAAGTTACAGTGGGAATACACATTGAATTATACATTACACAAATGCACTGATTTATTGTGGTAATAACATCCACCTCATTAAAAGATTCTGCTTTGCTGCATTTGGAAGGCTACATATTGTTTTCTACTATAAATTAATGGCAGTACACAGAAGACTGTGGAATCCTTGTAACAATAGATCTGTAATGACAGTGCTCTATATCACTGCTTTCTCAGCAGCTTCATAATAAA